CTCAAACTAATTTTTATTCTAAACCGGTCTAAGATGATACTAAAACAATTTTGAAAACATTTCGAGAGAGAAAACAAAATCTGAGAACTGAACTTTTTGTACATTTCTGTCTATAGGACGCACTTTTTAAAATGAATCACGTTTGCTGTTTGCGCTTTAGTCCTGTCCTGGTGCCGGGGGGGGGACCCCAGTTTCTGTGTGTTCACAGTCAGTCCGCGAGACGGTCCCCCGACTTCCATCCCTCGCGCCGTGGTGCAAGTGTGCATTTCTCATTTCTGAAAAGCAGTTCAGGGGTTCATCGTTTCGGGTTTATCGACAGAGCAAACAAAAGATGTGTGGACCAAGAGTCACGGACACCCGCAGGGGGCGGAGAAAGCGATATCCCTGGGTTTTTGGTTACAAAACCTTCGGGGAATGTGTTTGTTTGCGCTTGGGGGCGTCCTTACGCGTCAGGACACAAGGAAGACCGATCAAAGTGAGAAACAGTCAGTTTTGCTCCAGGCATGATACACCCGCGTTACAATATTCAGGCTTTACTTTATTATTAACAATAATAGTTGCTTACACTTACAGTATATAGCGCTTTTCTGGACACTCCACTCAAAGTGCTTCACAGGTAATGGAGACTCTTCCAACAGCAACGGTAGTTTTTCCCCAGGAGGTCTCCCCTCCAGGTACTGACCAGGCTCATACTTGCTGAGCTTCAGTGGGCTGTCATTCGTAAGCTGCAGGGTGATATGGCTGCTGACTTACCATTATGAGCATGAACAAGCTAGCAGATTGTGATCGCTGCGTCCATTGAGCAATGTTTCTGGGCACATTAACCTGAAACGTCACAAGATAAGCACAAGCTGAAATTGTAAACGAGCAGACAATATGAAGGACTGTAGTGCCAAATCCATCCTATTCATTTAACCAGTCTAATTCCTTCTCCGGCAGGAGCTCCTCCCCATCTGCAGCATTTGTTTCTCACTATATTGATATTAATTTAAAAGGCCTAAAGAAGTAAAACCACTGAGCAAACAGCAGAGCAATGCAATGTGGCCAAGATCATTTGCACAGCACTGCTCATGCCCTGTGTGTACAGAGCAAGAAACTGGTTCAGTCAGAGAGATGCACACAGTATTAACAGATGGAGGGAGAAGCGGAGGGTTTCGACGGTCTGGACAGAGAGAGAGACTGATTTGAAGCGGTTCTGTTTCTTCCCACAGCCTGCTGGCATAGCTCCGCCTGACATTACCGCCGGCCACCTTCCCAGAGAGCACCGTCTCCGCTGAGCAAAGGCGAGAACCGAAGGGATCTCACTTCCCTGCAGCCGGGGTGACATGGCTGCTATCACCCCCTGGCCCGTTTGTGCCCCCCAAAAAAACCTCCAATATCCCTCCTGCTCAATTCCTGCTTCCTCTTGCGTCATTTAACTGGCGGAGTCCCGTGAGCTTTGTCCGTGACCTCTTATCTCCGACCGTTTATCGCTCGCTGTTTAAATAGGCCTAACCATCCTGTTCCCTGCCACGCCGATTGTCAGTATAGAAAGAACGATACAATCCAGCTGGACCGAGGCCAGGCTCGGCTGCCCGGACTGGGTCGAATCGGGACTCTCAGAACCCGCTGGCTCACGTGGCCGTGCGGGCCTCGAGTTGACGTAACACAAGGCTGACGTCACCCCTCCCCCCCCCACCGTGGGCGTGGAGAGCTAGCTTTCGGATCAGGGTGCTTTATCTTCGCGGCTGCCTGTAACCGCTTTGGTTCACCAGACACGTTCTCGCACCCCTGACCTAAAATGTCTTTAAGTGATTTGGGGGTTTTTGCACTTGAAATTAAAACAAAAATCTGGCATGTCTCGCACCGGGTATAGAACCGCTGTTTTAGATCCAGCTGGAATGTGGGCTGGTCAGGAGTTCCGGAATGCGTTCATTTTTAATGAAATCGTGCACAACCACCTTCTCATGTCGGACACCCCAAAGTGAAACTGCGCGCACTGTTGACTGATTGTCCTGTGGATCCGCAGGAGAATGATTCCAAAGGTATTTCCCAGAAACTTATTTGGTTTTCAAATTCTTAACAGAACAGGTACATTGAGACAGAGCAGCCTCATTCGGTGAAAAGGCGAGTCCCACATCGCCCCAGTGACGGGTAAGTGCCCATTGCTACGGGTGTCATATAGGAAACAGCGCAATGAAGAAAACGACAGCTAACCCTTTTGGACAGAGTGGGAAGTGGGATGTTTAGGTATCGGTAAATCGGAGATCTTGGAACTGAGAGGACAGGCATCCTGCAGAAATGCTTGAAACTTCAACTGCCCTGAAAACGGTGTCCACGGCAACCCCCTGAGAAAACTGCACTGAGCAAACTGCAGCAATGTCTCCCTCCAGTGGCGACATGTAACGTAACACCGTTAATCTGTCGCGTGTCTGGCAAAGACCCTGCAGGCCGTGTAACTATGGTCGTTTTGCGAGGCCTGTTGCAGAGTAGAGTAGTTTTAGCAAAACACAAGGTATGTGTTTATGATGTGAAACTAAAAACTTGCATCCGTTAACACGTTCAATTTCCATTTCCAAAAAATACAACTGGTGAAACGTTTATCCCCAAATCTAAGGAATAAAAGGGCAATTGTATTATGATTAGAAAAGTTTTTTCATTAATTTTGCACAACTGACATCATCTGGTGAGATTATCAGATGAGCTGTCTAATAAATAAAGGCTCGAATGATCAGGCCTTGTTGGGAGCAGAGTGATGTCATTGTCACGAAACAGTTCTTTCCGGGCCCTATGCGGACAACACGATCCGGAATAGTGAGGAAACACTGAGGGAAAAGTCATGCAGGAGAGGGTATAGAGACAGGGGGCGTGTCCAAGGGCTGAATCCGGGGCGAACTATCCATGAGAAAATCCAAACGGGTCATCCAAGACAGAAGGTAGAGTCCAAGGCCAGGGGACCCATCCAGGGAATAAAACCATGAACCGGGTCGGGACCGGCGGGGCGGGGGAATCAGGAACAGAAGGTTAAAAACATAACGGAGCCGGACGCAGCAGGACCCCCAGCTCTCACGAAGCGGAATTCGATGAGGAACCTCGAGTGACGTCTGCGTCTGGCTTTTAAGGGGGAACGGAAATAGGAAACAGGTGCAGGTAATGGGGCAGAACAAGGCAGGGCTGGAGCGCCCTTAAGAGGAGGAGTAGCGATCGTGACAGTCATATTTCACCAAACCAGAGCCACACTGGTTATACAGGGCTGTGACTTCTGCAGCAGGATGAACACAAAGGGCAACCCTCTTGGAGAGCTAAGAAGACAGGGGGTGTGGAGAAGACAATGCTGCTTCAAGGAGCTGAGTGTTTTTGTCAGCAGCCATATCACCCTGCAACTCACAGCTGGCAACCCACTGGAGCTCAGCAGGTGTGAGCCTGGCCAGTAGCTGGATGGGAGACTCCTGGGAAAAAAAACTAAGGCTGCTGCTGGAAGAGGTGTTAGTGGGACCAGTAGGGGGCACTCACCCTGAGGCCTATGTGGGTCCTAATGCCCCAGTATAGTGATGAGGACACTAAAAAAGGTGCTGTCCTTTGGATGAGATGTAAAACCGAGGTCCTGACTCTCTTTAGTCATTAAAAGTCCCAGGGTGTTTCTCAAAAAGAGTAGGGGTGTAACCCCCGGCATCCTGGCCTAATTTCCTATTGGCCCTTACCAATCACGGCCTCTTAATAATCCCCCTCTCTGAACTGGCTTCATCACTCTGTTTTCCTCCCCACTGAGAGCTGGTGTGTGGGGAGAGTACTGGTGCACTATGGCTGCTGGCACATCATCCAGGTGGGGCTGCACACTGGTGGTGGTGGAGGGGAGTCCCAATTACCTGTAAAGCCCTTTGAGTGGAGTGTCCAGAAAAGAGCTATATAAGTGTAAGCAATTATTATTATTATGATTTAAATGTGATTCCAGAGTGGCTTGTCTGTGCAATCTGCTGAAGGAGGAAGGAGTCTTTTAAATGTCTGTTGTGGCAGCAGTGTAGTAAAGATCCAAAGACATCATTGGAAATGCATGACAAAGCACAAAGAGATA